TCACTGAGTTACGCAAGCCCCTTCGCCACGACAAGGCAGTGATCCATGAAGGGGAGAGCCAGTTGGGGACAGTGGTTAAGGTGCTGGCCTAGAAACCAGGAGACTGTGAGTTATAGGCCTCACTGAGGCATGAAAGCTAGCTGGGTGACTTTGGGTCAGTCACTCTCTCTCAGCCCAACTCACCTCACAGGGTTGTTGTTGTGGGGAGAATAAGAGGCAAGAGTATTTGGTATGTTCTCCGCCTTGAGTTATATATAAGGCAGGATAAAAATATAATAATAATCCCTTCCATTCATAGAATTTTATGAAATAATTAGGAATAATTATGAGGTAGTTAGGCTTGAAATTATGATGGTTCCAAAGTTGAGTGCAATCTTTGTGGTGCATGCAGTTTAATTTATATCTCTCCAGCTCCATTTCATCCCACAAACTATTTTATTACAAGTCTACAAGGTAGATATGGATACAGTTCCTTTTCATAGGACAAGACACCTCTTTTATGATGGAACTTGCCATTTAAAATTGCAAATGCAATTTTGCAAAATTTGGAAATTGCAAATTTCAACTGGTTTTAAAGTATTTTTAGTTATTTTTTTAAAATACTGCTGACTAATTAATTGGGATGTGACCTATTATTCTAAATCAGTGATGCAACAGGTAATGCTCTTTGGTATTAAAGTCTAAAATCCTGCAGCCAAGAGGACTGTTCCCACTGACCACCGAGAAAGTATCAAGAAATAAAGACAGTGACAAAGCAGTCACTGGACCTACTGAGTGCCACCAGAGTTTCCACTGCACACCACAGCATCTTTTCTTAGCTGGCCAAATAAGCAAGTGATTATAAATGCTCATTTTATTACTTTTATTTTAATATTATTTTCTGCATCAAAAGAGTGCTTATTCCCAATTAAAGGATATAGCATACGCTCATCTGAAGGAAAGGATGAGCATAAGACTATTAAATCTTGGGTCTGAAATTATTGATCTAATCCACTGCTTTAAATGATTACTCAACAAACATTGTAGTCCTAATATACACAGCCAGAGGGGGAGATGGGATTTTCTTTATGTCCCCGTTATATCATACACAGTTGGATCAATAGGTAGTCAGGCCAGACAGATGTATCCCATAGATCATGTCTGAAGGAGGTAATAAAATCAAGCATTCCCAAAATGCTGTGTAAAGACCAAAAGAAAATAATTTTTTCCCAACGAGGTTCCTTAAATTAGGAAGTGGCCATGGCTGTTCCTTGCCATCAGTTTTCTTCAACCTTGGGCCCTCCGGATATGTCAGAACTACAGCTCCCAGGATTCTCAGTCAATCCTTAAAGTAGTCAGGACTACAATTCAAAGTAGTTCTGAAGTACAGATTAGTCAGGATTATAATTCCAATACTTCGTAATCTGCATCTAATTTCAGAACCAGTAAAATGTGGGGACAGAATATTGGGCTTAAACTGAGAGCATCCAGGTACAATTTTAGTCTGGCCATGTTGGCTTGGAAATCTGGGATGTTTAATGCAGCTGCCTCAACCTGGGAGCAACAGGTTGGGACAGCTGCACTATATAGATTGTGTTAAAGTTATAGAGGAACTTTCAGGTCTCAAAGGGTGTTATTTACTTTGTATTATCAGAACCAGTCTCTCAGTCTGTTCATGAAGGAATGTGGAGGCTTAAAGATGAATTTACTCTGTTCACAAACCATGCAGTCAGCATTATGAAAGTAAGAGAGGGGAATAGAGATTGGAAAAGGCAATATGAATTATAAATACAAATAACCCCCTGTGTTTTCCTATTCAGTGGTGCAGAATCAATACAAATTCTTTTTGAACCTGAATAGAGTGTGAAACAAGGGTTACCTATCTCTTCATACTTCCTCACTTCCAGTATCATTATCTACAATGATTGGGTCAGTAAAAACTATTAAAAGAAGGGAGGGGAGAGGGGTAAATGTCAAGACTTGCCACATTATTTTCTAGACAGATATGCCTGGAAACAATAGGTTGTGTCTGCTTTGAGGGAGTGGGGAGGGGAGATTGGTTTTAAGTTAGTGTAGAAAGAAATTGCCCATCCCAGGGACACATTATGGCTGGGGTCGCACTATATTGTATGAAACCCAACCATTATCTTAGCATGTTGTGTGCATCCCACTATCATGTTAAACCATAATATGGTGTATTCTATGGACATAGTATATGGTGTATATAGCAATTGTGTTTTGTTAGCCCAGATTTAGGGATAAACAAGTGTGATCCTAACTTACTTATTTGTATGTATATTGAAGAGATGGAAATTTCTATATTTGAAAGCTTTGCACAAAAGACAGGAGGATAAGGGTTAAATTCTGAACCAGGGTAGTATGTGTAGACAGAGTATTAGATTTTTAAAAAATTCAGCTACAAATCACATTCTACCCCCACTAAGGGAAATGGTTGCTGTGTTATTTGCTTGCTTGCTTGCTTGCAGCATTTCTAACCTGCCCCAATCCTGAAAGACTCTGCAAAACCTAAATTCCAGTAAAGCAGCATAAACTAAACTAACACAATAAATTTATAAATGCTTGGCCTATCATGGTGCCCTAATCAATCCAGAACAAAGGTAGAATGGAATAGGTCTCTTTTCACTTGATTCAGACTGCAAAGAAGGTTGGGGCTGGACATATCTGTGGAGGAAAATAGATCCACAGAATGGGCAAGATCACCAAAAAGGCCTACCACCTTGTACCTTGCATGGAGAGGGATCCTTAGCAGGCCCTCTTTAGATGGCTGGACCAGATACGCAGATTCTTTTACGGCAAGACAAGAGTTGATGTAACTTAATGCTGCACTTGGTAGAGCATTAAAGATAACAACTGGGACTTTGAATTGGTCCTGGAAGGCTACTGGTAATCAGTGTAGCAACTTTAAAATAGGTGTTATTTTGCACTGGTAGGATTGTCCCACCATTGATCACACTGCTGCATTTTGTACCACCTGTAGCTTCTGGGACATTTGCAAAGGCATTGGAGAATACAAGGACTTAAGTGCTTCTCCCCCAGAGTGGAGCTGACCACTCAAGATGAGCATACCCAGCATAAGACAGTGCCCCAATCCTTGCAGTTGGCCCAGAATAATACCATGGTGAAATGGTTTTGAAAGCTGCTAAGAGGCCTAATAGGACATTCCCCCACATCCTGATCCTGATGGTGTCAGCTGATGTCATTTCTCTCCCATGAACAAGCTTGAATCCTGACTGAAAAGGATCTAGATTATCTTGTTTCTGCTAGGATCCTGGATACCTAATTCCCCATTATCTTTTCAACTACCTTTCTTAAGAAGGGAAGATTGTAAATTATAATTATAAAAAGATGATCAAATTATCAGGGTGGGCTTCTTTAAAAGAGAGCACATCTCTATCTGTATCAGAGAAGGCAGCATTATGCCCTTGCTCAAGCGTTAATTATCTCCTGGAATCATTCATTGACATTGATCATAAGAGCATTACTGGATTAAAGCAGATGACTGTATAGTCAGTCCAGCATCCTGTTTTATGTGACTGCTAAGCCAGATGTCTGTAGGAAGTACACCAGTAAGATATAGCTGTTGTTCCCCAGGAGATGGTATTCAGATACATGTTCATGCTGACCTTTATCCTGGTTATAGTATACAGCCACCTTGTCTTGTACTAATTAATAAGCTTACTTTCTATAAATTTGTTTAATCCCCCTTTAAAACAATATTTAGCAGTCATTATTGCATCTTATGGTAGAGAATTCCATGATTTAACCATGCATGAAAAAGTCACTTTCTGCTATCTATTGTAAACCTTACAACATTCAGCATCACTCAATAATCCATGTATTTGGAGGAAGAAAAAAATTCTTCTTATCCATGTAGCTAGGTTTTATCAAATTGATTAAAAAACAATAACTTCAATGAAAATTTATGCCAATACTTTTGAGCTCTTGTTCGTAGATTTTGCACTAGTACCAGTAATGTTGGTGGGCTTTCTTTTGCTTTTTTTTTTCAAACAGGTACAAGCAGTGCTGAAGTAAAGGAGAACCGTAACATTGGCAACTTAGAAGATCATTCAGTTACTTCTAATGAAAGATCAAGAGTAGGAGCTTCCAGTGTCAAAAGAAAAAGACCTCTAGAAGAGGGCAATGGTGGACATTTCTGCAAATTTCAGCTCATCTGGAAGAAGGTCTCATGGTCTGTAACACCAAAGAATGCCCTGGTTCAGCTACATGAACTTAAACCTGGTTTACAATATAAAATGATTTCCCAAACAGGCCCTGTCCATGCTCCTGTATTTGCAGTTGCTGTGGAGGTCAATGGACTTACATTTGAAGGCACTGGACCAACAAAAAAGAAAGCCAAAATGAGGGCTGCTGAACTAGCCCTCAAGTCATTTGTACAGTTTCCCAATGCATGTCAAGCACATTTTGCCATGGGAAATTGTTTCAACCCTTCTACAGACTTTACATCAGACCTGGCAGACTTTCCAGACACTCTGTTCAAGGAGTTTGAACCATCTGCACACAATAAGGACTTTTCAGTCTGTAACCCGGTTAATAACGAATTACTTTCTAAGGCCTACCGTCATGGGAAGCTACTCTACCGCACGTTGGACTTCATGGGCCACCCTAAACAAAACAAGCACAAGATGGCATCTGCCGCCAAGAGTGAAAAGAACCCAGTGGTGTTGCTCAATGAGCTGCGGTCAGGACTGAGGTACGTCTGCCTTTCAGAGACTGTGGAGAAGCAGCATATCAAGAGTTTTGTGATGGCTGTGAGAGTGGATGGGAGAACATTTGAAGGCTCGGGACGTAGCAAGAAGCTGGCTAAAGGTCAAGCAGCACAGGCTGCGCTGCAGGCCCTCTTTAACATTCGTCTGCCCAGTCACATTCCCAGCAGGAGTAAATGTAATCATTTGCCACAGGTGAGAGCTCTGAGGTAGCCACCACCGAGCTGAAGGGATTCTGTAAAATTAATGTGATTTCTTGTGTTCTAGCCATAAATTGTGACTTTATAAGAACGTTCACCCAGAGGGTGCTGTACTTCAGCAGTGTCTCTTTCCTTGCCAAAGCCATGTGCAAAGACATTGGCATTTTCTTCCCCTCTTGCATATCTAAGAGACATTATATGGGTTCATTTCTAAAAAGAAAGTTGTGCATAGAGACCTTTGAAGGACCGTCAATAATTCAGCTGCAGATTAATAGTACTTCCACATGTAAAGAAGGTAGAGTCCTGTTCTGGTTTTTATTATCAGAGTGTATTTGCTCTTAAGGGAGACACCATAAGTAAAATATACAGTGGGGTGTCCTTTTTTTTTTTACCCCTACTAAGTTACAGTTAGACAAAGAGGACATCATTCTTTAAAATGTACAATGTGTCTGTTTTCCAGGTTCGACCCCCAGACTTCAGACAAATATTAAAGATCTCTGGGGAATGGTTGTCAATCAGTTGACTGAGATAAAGGAAAAGGCTGGTGGTGTTTTGTTGGTTATGTGTTCATGTGGTGTTTTTGGGTGCTGAATCAAGAAAACAATCCAACTTTTGTGTCCTCTAATTTGAAAGTGTTGCTAGTTTCTAGTTAGTAACTGAAATAACTAGGTTGTGATGGGGCTTGATTGATTGATTGATTGATTGACTGATTGATTTAGTTACCTGAATTCTCTCTCAGTATTGTCTTTCTTGGTAGCTGTTTTTGTCATGGACAATTTTCTATTCAAGTGAGATTTCTTCTGCTTTTCCTAAACTTTTGAAGAGAACGTTGGAAAAAATAGAGCTCCCTGTTATAACTTTTCCCTCTGAGACCTTTATCTGCTTTTAGATTTTTCCCATTTATGTTAGAATTTACTGACTATTCATAAATTTGAGGAAAGGACTATTCATGTGGTATTTCAAGGTGACAAAATAAGATCTAGGATCCTTACCTGCATGTAAAATCCTCCAAGAGAGAGGCATTTGGCTACATATTTATATTAGTTTATTCAATGTGTACCCCGGCTTTCTGTAGTATTGGAAAAATCTATTTCAATTGTAACTCTTCATGTAGTTTTGATGAGATTTTTGTGGACTTTTTAAAAAAAAAAATTACTTTGCATGCCAAATCAACTGACCTTAGCTTGCATTTTCTTTCATTTTTGCTTTGTAGTCAATGTTGAATTAGGTGGGCTACTTTAGAGTTCACTCATCTTTGTACATTCTGTTTTTAAATATCTTGGACAAATTGCAGTATTACATATTTATGTGCTGTGAGTGTGCCTGTTTTAAACAACTATGTTTGACATTTTCCATCCCATTTCTGGCCACAAAATCAAGGCTCATTGAGCAAATGTGTGGAGCCAAGTGGTCAAATGAAACAGTTTTTGTGCCGTAACAGAACAGGATGTGCGAAAAGGGAATAAAACAGTGATAGGACAAAGAGAGAGCTTCTCTAAAGGTAGCATGAGCGAAATGTCAACTGCAAGTCTGCTCCACACCCCATTTCAGAAATATATTAAAGGAATTCCCAAATGGCTACAGTTTAAAGAATCAGATTATATGTGTTTTAACTAAAGGAAATTATTGGTTGGAGCTTGAGAGAGGGAAGAAATTCAGTGAGTTCACATTGCAGTGCAAACCTACTTAATTTTACCCTTTTGAGTCAATACTCAAACCAAGATTCTGTTATCTTTCCAGATCCACAGTTCTCTAAATTTTGCAAAGCAATTCTCCAAGTCAGACATTCAATTATTAGTGAAAATATACAAAATGCATTGTCTTAAATGAAAATAACACATATAATGCAGGAACTTGTATATTAGGAAAAAAATGAGCACAAAAAAAGTATGAATTTTCATACAAATTGTGTCTTAACATTTCAAACTGGTGTGGAAATGGAAGAAACCAATGAAGCCTGGAAAACTGAGAAGATGTCAAAGACCAAAACTGAAAGATAAATCAATCTCTGTTTGGACCCAACCTAGCTAGGAAATATGATTCATGAAATTGTTCGTTCCATGGGGATCAGAGAAAGTTATCGTATATACCTGTGGATAAACCAAGAATTTTAGGTGCCAAAATACACCCAGAAATTGGGTTCAGCTTATCCATGGAAGGGCTTATCTGTGAGTATGGCAGGTTTTTTCCTCAGCTTTTTAAATACCCATCTATCCCTCATATATTTGCGGATAAGCCCATCTGCAGATAAGGAGACCCTCAAATTTTTAACCAAAATACCATGAAAGCACCATGCACCACATGCAGATAAGCCAATTGTGAAAATTAAAACATACGAAAATTTCGAGGTTGGTTTATCTGTGGGTGGTGCATTTTTCATTGTATTCTGGTTAAAAATTGAGGATTGGCTTATCCACAGATGGGCTTCTCTGCGAGTATATATGGTACATGTGCCTTTCACCACTTACTACAATAACACATTTGGGGAAGAAATGTATTTTGGACCCTTTCCTAAACAGTAATAAGGAGGGGTTCTGCTTTACTCCAGCGACTTTAACTTTCTTCACCCAAGAATTACTGAAATTCTCTGCCAGAAAGAATTTCAGTAACTCTCAGTGAAAAGCATTTTTCTCTAATTGGCTTGCAAAACAGACAAATTCATCCCAAGCCATGGAAAGGGAGAATGAAAGTATTAGGGAAACAAATTATTTTTATCTGTAGAGATTCAGGAGAGCTATGGGAAAGAAAAGAGGCTCAGACAACCAGTAGAAAAGTAGTGTTTTCTTGGAACACCATGAGCATCTGTCAATGTCCCAGTAGACTTAGACAAGAGGTATAAGCTCCATGCAGTGGAAATTTGGATCAGTAGAACTTGTCACTGGCAGATATTTTTACATTGGTGGAATACTGATAGTACAAGCAGGAAAAGCAAAATGGAATTATGAAGCATTAGGGGAGGAAAAGAACTTAAATTAGACCTATGTATCATAGAGTTAGGGATAACCTACAATGATGCTATTACATTAGACATATAGAAAAGACGGCACAAGTAAGAGTCTGGTGTAAGTTAATGAAAACTCCAGTCCTAATTGTAACCATAACCCCAGAAATCATCTTTCCTCTGCATTTTAGGATTCTTCCAGTGGAAAATTATTTCTGTACTGTTTTCAAGAAAACTCCATGAATGTATCCATGAAGTCACTAGGAGCTGAGCATGACTCAAAAGATACTTGAGTTACTTCACTTTGCTCCAGTTGAACAAAGCACACCACCAGGCTATATTACTTCAGGCTATAGGACCAGATCTCATACTGAAGAGGCTGAGCATGGGCTATATTTCACTGTCCTATCAAGTGGGGACTTGATGATTGTATGCTTAGGTGATGAGGCACTTAGCATAAAGGGAATATGTTACAAAAATCAAGCAGATAGAACTTACAAATGTATATACAGTAGGCTGAAAAAGAGCACTGTTTTGAGCTCACACATAAGCATTGCTCCAAGAACCTTAACTCTATTGTTTAATTGAGACTGCAAAGAGAAAGACACCTCACCCAGGTAAGCAAGGAAGAGACCTACCTGAAGGGAAAGAGAGTATCCCTCAAAATATAAATTGGAATGACTTCCATCAGGATTTCCTGGCAAACACAGGGAGTGATGTAGAGTGCTCATAATCTCATAGTTACAGAACCTCCCTTCCCTGAAAATATAGGAAAATGTGTATTGATTTCACAGTCTCCCATTATTTAACAGATTGCAGAAGTGTGCCCCAGAAAAAGGACATTAAATTAAATCTGTCCTATGCACGAAAGGACACCCTTTGAGCACAAACTCCAAATAAAGGTAGGTCAAGTTTTGGTTTTTGGAACTAAAGAGTATGCTTCACCTATTATTACTGCAGGAAAATGCTTAAGACATACTTGTTCCTTGCAGGATCACAGAGAAACTGAAGAAGCACAATAAACAGTAGCAGCAGTTTTCTCCACTGGATGGGTGAGTTTTATCAGAATGATTGCATTCTCTTTTCTAACTATTAGAGGTCCAGGCAGAGATTCTAGGAAGCTTATGAATGAAGGAGCACCAAGGGGGTAAGGGCATGGGGAACAGAAAAGCATCTGACTGGAGAGAAGCCATTGTTCTTAATTTGCCAATTCCTACTAAGCATTTAGTCTTAGAAGCTTTCCATTGCAGCTGCCATCAAATTTTCATCACTGTCTCCATGTCTGTCATCTCTCTGTAGGCAACTGGGCAGTCATTTAACACCCACAGAAGCAAAGCTGCTTCCCAGCATCAGTGTCATGTTCCCACAAGCAAAGCCTATATCATCAGCAGCAATGATTAGAAAGCCAGCTGTTCCTCTGTGAAGTCATTTTTGCCCTCGCTGGGTTCCTTGGCCATTCAGAAAAGGATAACAGACACTGTGGTGACAAACGTGCCATTACTGTGACTGCAGCTGCAGTGATGGAGAAACTTTTTGGGAAACAGGAACTGTGCAAGGCAGGTACATGACAACTCCATTCCTCTGTGATGTTACTGAAGCTCACAATTGGTAAATATTAATAAAGGTGTAGCTACTGAATTCATGTCTCCATTGTTATGATGCTAAGCAGGCAAGAAAACCTCCCTTAGGAATGAAGGACTAATTTGTTTGGTTTATTGTCCTACACCATTTCCATTTTCTGAACCATGCTCAGAACTCATCTATCGTTCCATATAATATTTGCAGTTCTTCAAATTATGTGATATGGTTCTCCTATCAAAAACAGTACAGAATTGCATACATGAGGAGGAATAACATACACATGATGCATATATTATGAAAACCACCTACCAAAATGAATTTAATGAGAGGAAGTTACTTGGAAAGGTATGTATATTAGGAAAACTGCATACAAAAATATGTATATTACCAGAAATATGTATACAAATGCATATGAATTTTCATTCATACTTTTTAAAAAGAGAATTCACAACTGGTATAGAAACAGTATAGAA